GATAAAGCACAGTCACTACTACGTATCATAAAGCAGGTACAAGATATTTTACATTCACAGAGGTATGATACAGTACTGTCCTATGTCTATAATACTAGAGAATACAATTAAAAAGGCATTATTTCAGACTTGATTCTACTTTTTCCAGCAGAGGGCCCAAAGGATGATAGGATAGAACTCTGTAAAGAAATATACTTTTTTAGATAGGGTTTCCTTTCATTGACAGCACAGAGCTGTGAGTTATTTTAAATGGAAAGTTTTATTTATTTTTATGGAAGAGTAATTTTATACAAACAGCTAATAATTATGAAGAGAAAACTGTAGTTACAACCTAATGTCAAATTAATTAGGATAAGAAAAGCTTGATATTCATTGAAAAGGTACATAAAAACATAAAGCCATGCCAAAAGTCAACTAGAAACTAAACAAAATACACGGAAGATGGATATGTAGCTAGATATATAGTAGTATTTTCCACAAATAAAACATACATAAACAAGAAAGACAAGATTCTGAGAAAGATGGATTCTGTAGGCTTCAGATTGGAATATATTCTTTTTTTTATTGGTACATGCCCATAACATAGTCATCCTGAGGAGTTGGTACATACACCTGACATATAGTTCTTTTTTTTTAATCCCCTTCCCTTCTCCCTCATCCTCCCCGTATCTCTTGACCCCCCCATATCTATTTTTCACACATTTTTAGTATATAATGCTCATATTACTTGTAGAGACTTGGGGCATAATGCTAAGCATTCCACAATGCCCCTCCTTTTTTTCTCATTGCCTCCCTACATTTCTTTGTTTCCCACTCCATATGCTAAAGATCTATTTCCTATTGTCCATCTTACATTTTGCACTTTATATTTTTTATCTCTTTTATAAGAAAAACTGTGTCATATTTAAACTTGTGATTTGATTTATTTCACTTACCATAATGAAAGGTGCAACCATTTTCCTAGAAATGACTTGATTATCCTTCTTTATGACAGTAATATTGCATTGTGTATAAATGACACATTTTCTTTATCCATTCATCTGCTGATGGACATACAAAGGTGCTTCCAAGACTTGGCTATTGAAAGTTTGTTGCTGTCAACATGGATATGCATGTATCACTGTGATGTGATGTCTTTAATTCTTTTGAGAAGATACCTAGAAGGAGAATAGCTGGGTCTGATAGAATTTCTAGTTTTGGTTTTTTGAGGAATCTCTGTGCTGATCTCCATTGGTATCTGTACCAGTTTGCAGTCCCACCAACAACAGAGGGTTCTTTTATCCCCACAGCCTTGCTAATTTGCTATTATTTGATTTCTTGAAGGTAAAAATTCTTTCTGGAGTAAAATGGAATTTCAGTGTTGTTATAATTTGCATTTCCCTAATGGCCAGCAATGCTGAGCATTTTTTCATGTATAATTATTGGCCGTTTGTATTTCATGTTCTGAGAAGTATGTGTTGATGTCAGATACCCATTTTTTGATTGGGTCTTTTAATTTGGAGCTCCTAATTTTTTTTTAGTTCTTAATGTATTCTACATATTAGTCCTTGAAAGAGTAGCTGGCAATATATTTTCCATTCAGTAGATTGTTCATTGTTGTTTGCTTTGCTGTGAAGAAGGTTTTTAATTTTATATGATCCCATTCATTGATTGTTTTTATATTATTTCTTATGCAACTGGGGTTCTATTCAGAAAATCCTTGCTGATGTCAAGAGTTTTGCCTGTTTTGATTTTGAACAGATTATTTGTTTTAATATTTAGATCTTTGATCTATTTTAATTTTAGCTTAGTGCATGGTAAGAAGTACACGTGTAGGTTCAGTCTTCAGCATGTGGATGGCCAGTTTTCCCAGCACCATGTAATGAGGCTCTCTCCTCCACTGAAAGTATTTGGCCCCCTTGTCAAAGAAGATGTAGCTGAGCGTGCCTGAAATTGTTTTCTGCATTCTGTATTCTGTTTCCTTAATCCACGAGTGTTTTTTGCCAGTACTATGCTGTACATTTGTCACTGTAGCTTTGTAGTATAATTTGAACTCCAGAATTGTGATTCCTTCTTCCTTGTTCTCATTGCCAAGAATTGCTTTTACTATTTGAGGTCTCTTCTGAGTCTATATGAATTTTAGGATTATTGTCTTAGTTCTGTGAGGAATGCTATTGGTATTTTAATTGGGATTCCATTAAATCTATATAAACAGTTTGGGAATTGTTTATTTTACTATATTGGTTCTTTCTATCCAAGAATAAGGGATATCTTTCCATTTTCTGATATCCTCTTGTCTCCTTTTTAAAAGCACTTATGTCCCACATTATAATTGTGTGGGTGTTTGTCTGATTTTTATGTCCAGTTGCTTTTGCTTTATGATGTTGGACACAATGATGTTTGGTGTATATGTGTTTATAATTGTTTTCTCTTCATGTTGAACTGTTCTGTTATCCAATATGTAGTGACCTTCTTTGTCACTTCTCATCAATTTTGGCTTGAAATCTACTTTGTCTGAAATTAAGATAGCTATTCCTGCTTTTTTCCAGATTCCCATTTCATAGAATGTGGGAGCCCGGCCATGGCCCTCTAGGAGTTTGACATTTAAAAGGAAACTTCTTCACCTCTACACTCAAGGCATTGATACAATCTGTAACATTCTAGGACTCTGCTTGTTAAACTTGTTGCTGCAACGGAAGAAACTCAAAGAGACCCCCATAGATCAGATGTTATCAGTTAGAGTCAGGAAATCCGGTCTTTGAAAAACAATGACTTGGTGTATTTTGTTGTTGTGTGCCCTTAAAAGCTTCCTGTTGCTGTGAACCTATAAAAGGAGCTGTTTCTGTGAAATAAATCAGACTTCTCTTCGTCTCCGCTCAGGTTTGAGTGTTCTTTCCTTTCTCAATCCTCACTCCCCGACTCAGGCTTGTTCGTGTTGTGACGGCTGGACTGCCACAATAGAATATTGTTGGTCATCCTTTGATCCTTAATGTGAATTTCTTTTTCAATTAAATCTGCTTCTCACATCATGCATATTGTTTGGATTTGTTTCCTGATTCATTCTGCCAATCTTTGTCTTTTGGTTGGAGAATTGAGACCATTCACATTGACAGTCATTCTGTCACTGCATTACTTTCTTGTTGCTGATTTTTTTTTTCCTTCTTAGCTGCTCATCCTGCCAGGTTTATTTATTCTATTTGATTTATTGGTATTGTTGACTTCTTGTTTCTCTGTAGGACATTCTTGAAAATTGTTTGTAGTGTTGGCTTGGTGCTCATTAATTTCTTGAGGTGCTCCTCGTCATGGAAGTACCTTATTATTCCATCAGTTTCTAAGGACAGCTTTGTAGGCTATATAGATCAGGAGTGGAGAAGTCTGTTCTTTTTTTTTTTTTTTTTTTTTCCCTCATTGAGTTTTTTGGTACATTTTAGGTATACAGTACAGTTACATTCATTATTGGAATCTTGTACCTTTACATGGCAGGTCTTGGTTCTCATTTTTTCCCCTTGTCCCTGCCCTCCCTTCACCTCCTCCCCTCCCCACTTACAAACACTTTATTTCCATTTTTTCATTTTCTCATATATTTTTTTCCCTTATTACCTTTCCCCTACCCTTACTCTGATGGGTTTACCTTTATAAGTGATTCACTGCTTCTCTCTAACAGCTTTTAAGATTTTGTTCCTGTGTTGGACTTAGGGGTTTTGTCAGTGATGTGACTCAGAGGAGTTCTCTTTTGGTTGTGGCTTTTTGGGGTTCTGTATGCCTCATCTGTATATTTGTTTTTAGCCCTGTATTTGGGAAGTTTTTTCGTATTATTTTTATTAACAGGTTTTTTTATGCCATTTGTGCTGTCTACTGATTTTTCATTCCTTCCATTTACACCCCACCACCACCACCAGGGATCAAACTCAGGACCTTGCGCTTGCAAGGCAGGCGGCAGCAGCACCACTGAGCTAAATCCCCAGCCCCCATTTACTTTTATATTAGTCTTCTTTGCATCATCTAGCAAATGCTATATCATTTTTCATGTTCTCTTGTTACTTTTAAGGTGCCTTTAGGTAGTTGGTCATTGAAAGCACCCCTATCTTCTCATTCTGAAATTCTGTCCTTACATTGGTTGCTTCTGTTACCCATACTTTAAATATCATTTTTAATCTGGATTTCTGATTGAAACCTTTTCATAGACTCTATAATTCTTTGCTAAACTGGTCATTCAGGTTTTGTATCATTTTGTTTAGCTCAGCTAGTGTTTTGTGTCTTCTGAAAGCTCCTGGATTATATTGGTTATTACTTCCATTATCTATTTAGTTGTATCTTCTATGATCTCACCAAGCACTTCTGATTTGTTTTCTAACCTTCTCCTGTGGTCCTTTCAAGAGTAATTTGGATGTGTGGCTTATGCTCTTCTCCCTCCTTGATGCCCCTGGATTGGCTCTGGGGAGTTAAGAGTTTTGGCACGTATTTTGTGTACCTGTTTTCTCATGGGTTTTTCTTTGTTGTTTTTTGGTGTTTGTGACAAGGTCTCACTATAATTCAGGGTGGCCTTAAACTCATTATGTAGCCCAGGCTGGCCTCAAACTCATGGTGATCCTCCTGCTTCAGCCTCTCAAGTGCTGGGATTACAGGTGTGCGCCACCATGCCTGCGATAAACCCATGGAAATTTTAATCTTATATTATCTACTTTCCACATCCAAACAAACATGACCAAATAAAGTAAGACATCTTCAACTCCAGCCTCATGTTTAAGACAAGAGGCTCTAAGAAAGAAGAAAAAAAGCTATCTTCATGTGTCACAACATAAAAATTGGAATACCAGATCTATAAAGCTGAGATTTTGTCCATATCCTGTGCTTTATAATTAACTCTTTGGTCTTGGAACCATCACTTTAATCTGGAGTGGGTTATCATAATTTTTAGTTTTTGCTTTGTTTCCCGAGGCACAGCCTCACTATATAGTTCAACTCTTGCCTCAGCCTCAGGGATCCCTGGATAACAGGCTTGTACCACTATACCTGGCGGTGATATTCTGGCTTATATGTATCAGAACTCATACTGAATGATGACTTCTGGCTTGGAAGAATGGATTCATTTTTTGCACTTGTCCATGAGTCTTAGACCACAAGTTGAATAAATACACACAGGTGCCACTGTACAATGCAATATCTATGTTACAGAGTAGGCAGTTATCTGATGATAATCATAAGGGAATCTATAGTTTAAATAGTAAAACTATTCCAGGTATAATAGGGGAAGTACTCTTGCATTGCTGGGGATTAAACCAGGGGCCTCATGCTGCTGAGCTATGTCCCAGACAAAGAAGGGAAATGATTAGGTATTTGATAGTAAAAATCTCTTTTGTAAAGTTGAGATTTACAACAGGGTATTCCAAGGAATGTAATGAAGCTGGTTAGAAGTTAGTGATTTTATCTAACATTTTCTTTTCTGGTGGGGGGGTACCAGGGATCAAATTCAGAACCCAGTGCTTACATAGCAGACACGATGTCACTCAGCTAAATCCCCAACCCTCTAACATTTTCTTTCAATGTTCCATTGACACCGGTCAGCTCTTACTCTGAAAGTAATAAGCACTGACAAAAACACCAGGACTTAGACACAGGAAGCAGTATCTCAGCTTTACCCCAGTGTTTGAATTTTTTTAAATGTTTTTTTGTATTTCTTTAGTTTCTCCTACAGACTTGTTCAGGTTGTTTTTATTTTTCTCCTTAGTTTTTGGCGTAAGAATTTTTTCATCAGCAGGTCATTTCTTCCTAAGAAAAAAATCCTTTTCTGTATATTGTTTGCCTTCTTTGACATTCACATATTTATCTCCTTTTCAGACCTTCTGCCCTCTGCTCAGTATTTCTGGCCTTCTCTCTTTGTAGAGAAAGCAGCTTCTTTATTGTTCTCTCATTCTAAATACACATTCATCTTGTTTGGCAATTTAGAACTTATTATGAAGCATCTCTCCTCTCCTGACTCTTCAGTAGGAGAATTGAAGTCATCGTCATCCAAGTACTTGTGTCTACGAATATCAAGATCTTCTTTTTCTACATCTTCACCAACATTTGTTTCAATGATTCCTTTAAGAGGCGTTCATACTTCATTTTATCAGTGTAGTTTTAAAAAATCCTCTCTCCTTGGCTCACTCAAAATCTTAAAATTTTCCTGCAAGGTAATAGTTTTCCTTCTATTCTCTCAGATTATAAAAATGAAAACCTAGGTCCCTTATCTTTAATTTGTTTTTTATCTATTTATGAACTTCTAGAGTTTCTCCTTCACTTTGGTCTTCCCTTTGGTGTTAATTTTGGTTTATATTTCCTTTTTCATATTTTTTTTCTTGAATCTTTCACAAATAGCGTTTAAAGTCAGTAGTCTTGGTTCTATAGATGAGTCACTTGATGAATTTGTTTGAACACTTTCTGATGCGTGAACAAATTTCCTAAGGGGGTTTCTTTGAGTCCATTTAAAGGAAGGCACACATTGCATTTTTACATAAGCTGCTACTGAATGAAGAGCTATCATTTTGGTTTTCAATTTTCACAGCTGTATTGCAGGTCATGTAGTTAACAGGATCCATTCTTGATTTTTCCATCCCTTTTTTTTTCTCCCCCAACTATGCTGCAGAAAAAAGCTCATGCTTTTATTTTGTTTTTGTTCTTTGTTTTGTTTTGTGCTGAGTGTTGTAGGTGGGTATAGTGTGAAGACTTTGTTGCTGATGCAGAGATCTCGTTAGTTAGTCTCCTCTTCGGTGATGGACTTTGACCAAGGCTAACTGCAGTCCTTTGCCTCTGCCCTAAGATCTGACCACCTCATTTACTTTGGGAGGGGAGAGTGCAGCACAGTTAGCCCAACACTGAGTTCACCAGGGATGCACCTCAGTATTGGTCATCTGGGCGTCAGAATACTGGGAAAGCCCATTAAGAGCCAAGAGTGTGATTTTCTTTGGAAAAATCCCTAAATATTGACAAACATCCCTTCAAAGGTAGCAGTGTTGTGATCCACTTCCTGTAGAACCTTAGTCCAGCACATCTGCCTCCTTCCTCACCACCATGGCATAGTCCTTGCTTCCATTCAGTGTAGCCACAGGAGAAAGAAATTGGAAGAAGGCATTCAGAATGTCTTTAAAAAGATAAAAACTTAGTGCTGTTAATGAAATGAAGTTATTTTGTTACTTAATCTTCTACTAAGAAGTTATTTTAAATCTGGTAATTATTGCATAACAGTTCTTAATTTTCCATTCCAAGGGCTTCATTATTTCAAAAATGTTGTGCTGGTGGGATCTCTACAAGATCGCTATGTTCCTTATCATTCTGCACGGATTGAAATGTGTAAGACAGCCTTAAAGGACAAACAATCAGGTAATTAAGTAAATTTAAGTATTTCTCATAGAGTTCTATCTGTGGATGAACTTTCCCCAAAATTTTTCATATACTCACTTTCTTCTCTCTGTCATCCTTTCTTTTTACTTTTTCCAACTCCTGTTAATTACAGCTATCCTTCCTCTGTATTTCTTCAGTTCTTTTTCTCCTGCCAGGTGAGCTGTCTTAAAACTGAGTTTTTTCATCTAATTACAAAAGTTTCTCCATTTTGCTGAAGTAATCAAAGCGAGGTGAGGTGGTGGTGCACACCTGTGATCCCAGCTGAGGCAGTAGGACCCTGTGCTCAGGGCAGCCTGGGCTACGTAATGTTCAAGGCCAGCCTGGAATACATAGTAAAGGAGCAGGGAGTGGGGAACACACAGACGAAACAAAAGTAATCCATGCTTGGATTTCCTCCTTCCTGGGACTGGTGATGTGGTGATGGACATTGTGGTCATGCTGAGTGTTTTACTGTATCTCACTTTTAGGCAGATGGCAACAGAGACTTGCCCCTCTTTGCTGATAGTGGAGTAGTTGTATGGCTTGTTTTTTTGTTTTGTTTTTGTTGTTTGTGAATGTCAAAAAATTTTTAAATCATAGCTGTTTGCAGCCAGGATACTGGGTCCTGTTGCCCAGAGATGGCTTATCCAGAGTCACAGGCTGAGAGCAAGAACCTGGGTCTCCTACCTCCAATTGTCTCAGTTCCATTTTTGAAACAAGACTAACTTTGAACTCAGCCCTTTGCTTTTTCCACATTGTGACAGTGGACATCTTAAAAAAAAGGTCTCTTTATGCACATTTGGATAGGCAGTGCTTTGCTTGCTACCTAGTAGGTTTTAGGTATTTACTCAGCTAACACATATTTGTGGCATCAGAATGACCTTTTTGTTTTAAACTTCTTTTCTAGCAAAGGCTAGAATCCACCTAAGGATTTTAGTTGGGTAGTTGAAACTAGATAAATGCCTTCATTTTAGCAGTGAGATTCTGTGCCACTGAGGGGACAGGGGAAGTCTAATGAGAAGTTTGGACTTCTTCTTGTGTAAGCATACTTTAAAAGTAGCATGGAAGGGGCCAGGGATTTAGCTCAGTGGTTCTGCCACCTGCCTCGCAAACACAAGGTCCTGAGTTCGATCCCCAGTACCTAAACAAATAAATAAATAAATATAGCATGGAACCAGAAATCCAACTTGATTTGCAGTGAAACTGAGAGGTGGGAGTGAAAAATTGTAATGAATTTATGTGATACTAATCCTTGCCTTAACACCTCTTTTCTCTTTTCTGATTGTCCTTGAATGTACTCTCCCCTCCTTCCTCAGAATCTTATCCTGCCTCTTCTCTGAAATGTAATACCATGGAAAGGCCAGCACTCCTCTGTCAGTGACATGTAGCGCGTGAGCATCATAAGCAGTGTTTGGCCTCTTAGGCAGTTTGTACATTTCTACATTTGTACTCATGTACCTAATCTTTATCTTTTCTGCTTATGTGGCCTTGATAATTCTGTTCTAAAAATTAACCAAAAAGAGGGGGAGAGGAGCACAATTTTGACCAAAAGCTGAACAAAATAATAGTTTTGCTTTTAATTTAAACAAGTATTGAATTAAAAGGTATCCTGTTCTTTGAGTCAAGCTCACATTCTTCTGACTACAGAGTTGCTGTTCTTTGTCAAAACAATTTAGAATTGGTAACTACCATAGAACATTTCAGATGTTCACGATAGGTCTGGCTTATTCCACCTGATGGGACTGTCATGCATGTACCCCCAGTGGATCAAGCCAGTGGACCATAATAAAGAATTTGTTGTAGACTAAATTATTTTATTTTGCCTTGTCAAGAGGTTTTACCATTATCAGTATGTTTTTATAATGGTTTGATGAGTTACCAGTGATTTAATGGTGAAGAAAACAGTTTGTTACCTACATTATTTTGAGTTTAAAATATTGAGTTGACAAAATATATAACAAAATTGTCATTTTTACTTGGCTGCATAAGGAGATTATTTATTTCTTCTAACAGAATTTTAAAAGAGTCTTAAATGGTAGCTGAAGAAAAGTATTTTTGAAGAAATTATTTGCTTTATGTGAAAATTAATATAACTAGATCTTAAAGTTCACATAACAGTTGCTATACAATTTTTCCAATCACTCATGTGAACAGTGTCCCTTTTCCTGTTTGCCCGTAGGACAGATCTATTCCGAAATGATCCACAACTTGCTTCACCCCGTTCTGCAAAGCCAAGACTGTAACTTGGTGCGGTACAACGTCATTAATGCTTTACCCAACACCGCTGATTCACTCATCGGGAGAGCAGCACACATAGCTGTTCTTGATTCAGAAATATTTTTAGAGAAATTCTTTCTGGTTGCTGCCCTCAGATATTTCCAGTAGAATAAAAACATTGTTAGAGACTTGACAATTACCTCATTCAACAGTGATTCACATAGTGTATTATAATTAAATGTAGATGCCGATAAGGTCTAAGAAATATTTATACCTTTTTATATGGAAGATAATTTATATCATCCATGTGTAGAGCTTTTTAAACATCAGTTTTACTTTCTAGGTAATGTGGCTGTGCAATATTTTTTAATTTTCTCTTTTTACTTTTCTATTACTTTTTCATATATTTTGCTATCTAAATATTTCAGTGAAATTTTAAGCCCCTACATATGTCTGATTATTTATTATTGGCTTTCCACAGTCCTTACATCAGACTACATCCTGTTAGAAACAGTTATTGCTAGAATAGCATGAGGTTTTAAATTTTCTAGTTTTGGGGTATTAGTCAACT